TGTGCATGTGCATGTGCATATAATAAGGCATGAATCTAGTAGGATAGCATTGAAGTTCAACAAAAATGGCAGAAACATAATTGTTTTCGACTCAGTTTGTTGGACTTGAATGTTGTCACTATTTTTTTTTCTTTGTTTTGAAGCTGGATTTTACTAGAATACTCCATGAAGCATTAATTATGAGTCTCTACAAAGCAAGCAGTCTACGTAACTAAAACCGTTTCCAGTTTCTCACAAACTCTAGTTAGGGTTTTTGTATTATGGTATTTGAATTTAAGTCCAAAACTATTATTTCTTCCATCTCAAAATATTTGTTATTAAATAATTTTAACGGAGTTTAAAAAAAAAATTTAACTTTAATATACTTAATATTAAATTTTAATTTTTTTAAAAAATTCAAGTTCCATGATTATTAATAACAAAAAGTAAAAAAAAAAATCATAAAAAATAATTTTGAAACGTCTCAAAAAAAAGATACAGACGGTCAGGAAAGTTTGCTACCATTGGATCTTATTGAAAACCTCAGTTTCACCTCCTTTTCTTCTTCCTCTAGTCCTTTCATTTGACTCTCCTCAACGCTGATCTCTTCAGATTGCACTTTGGTTTCATTTTGATCCTCTAATTCTTCAGCAATTTCCCCAACTTTTTTTTTCTCCATCTTCTTTTCGATAACAATATCATCAGGCTTCACACCAACTTTAGATATCTGTTAAAAGCCAACAAAAAAACCCAATTTAGAGAGATTTAAGTCACAAATACTCTTTACTTGAGAAAAACAAAGTTGATAAAAGCTTTAGAGCAAAGAGGGTGACATGTTTCACTTGCTTTTCCAATCATGATGGTGATTGATGCAACCAATTCCATGCTCTAAATAGGGAGAAATTCTCAAAATTGAAACATATTTAACATGTTATTAGGCAAAGAGTAAATGAGCCCACTTGTTTGATTCAATTTCTTACCACACGGTTTCATTTTTAAAAAATTGAATTCAATATATCGAATTGAAAACAAACTACTATAAAAGCAGCTTAAAGATTTGAACAGACCTCCAAATATTCATCAGTTACATGCCTAGTTTCTTGATAATTTGTGAAATAATCGTTACTTAATCACATTCAAATAATAAATTTTAATTTAAAAACAACACTATAATCAAAAATTGAAAATTTAATCTCTAAAAAAGGAATTTAAATGTTTGAGGGCAAGAGAAGAAGATCCTTAAAAAAGTAGCAATTGGGGAAATTGGTGGAAAGATGGGACAAGACTTGATCCATGTGCTTAGAAGTCTCGCACTAGTAAGCCCAAAAGTGAAGGACAATCTGTGCTCCACTGCCACAGGCTATCAAAATTAAAAAATTAATAATAATAAAGTTTAGTTATTAAAAAAAAGCAATCGGTTAAACCTTTAAAATTGAAAAAAAAAAAGGACTTACGATGCTTCTCATACAGAATCATCAGCTTTTTGGTGATTACTTCTCTACAAACAAAACAGATAAAGAGAAAAAACCATTACTACATTTTAGTTTGGAAATTAAAAGAAAAAAGGAAAAAAAGAAAAGAATAAAACGAAATTATTACTCCTAAGTAAAGATTGATGAGATCAGTAATGACAGGTCAGGGATGGTGGAACTAATAAGTTTGAGAATTTACAATTACTGCCAGTGATTCGTTCAACACAAGAGACACCATTGATCTACATACTCCAATGAAAACTTTTGGAGAAGATTTTTTCAAAATTAACCTTTATTTCCATAAAATTTTCCCAAAATCTAACCTTCCATTGTTTTGAGTTACATTGCTTAATTAACTATCCCTATCTCATCTTAAAGGGATAGCTTTAATATATAATTATAGATTTTAGTGGAAAACTTTTACTAATTCCTCTGAAAATTGGAATGATAAGTTTTAGGCGATGGCCCATTGGGTTTACAAAAGGGACAGCGCCTTCTCAGCCAATTGGGCTGCAAATACAAGGACAAGTATTTTTGCTGGTTTAGGCAAACGGCCATTTTTCCTGCCCATCAGGCCTTTATCCCCTTTTTTTTCCTTTATTTTTTTTTCTTTTTTACTATATAATATACTAAAATTTTGAGAAAATACATTTTAAGCAGCAAAGTTAAGAATCATTCTAATTATCAATAATGTTTTTATTGAATAGGATATCATTGAATGAATGACATCAACTCATTATAATAGGATAAAAAAAAAACTCATTATATAAAGATAAAATAAAATTATTTTATGAATATAAAATTAAAATATTTTTATATTTTCGTTCAAAAAATTATTCATTTTTTTTAAAATCTACCTATTTTTTCACATAATTATTTTTTCTAAAACAAAAAATTTTCCACCTAAAGCAAATGTCTCAAATCCTAATTATATTGCTTTTTCTTTCTTTTTTAAAATATTATTTCCCCACTTTTTTAATGAGAAATTTATTGATTTTGCTCACAAGAAAAAAAAAAGGAAAAAAAGTGAAGGACTCCTTTGGCCTTTACCCCCCATAAGAAGAGACAGTCCTACAACGTTTACACAGCAGTCTTTTGTCGTCAAGGTCAGTCCCACTTCAAACTCTCTCTCTCTGTCGTCTTTTGTTGCCTTTTCCTCTGATTTTTTGTTGATTACATAATTGGCTTTGGACCCCATTCGTTTACTTGTTTTTAAAGCTGTCTTTCAACAACCAGTCAAATTTAACATTTTCACAAACTACCCATTTCGACTGTTGCATCCTAGGTTCTGTTTTTGTGTTTTTTTTTATTTATTGAAATTTCGTTTCTTTTGCTGACCCATTTCAAGTTTTCTTCGTAAAAATGCCCCCTTGCTTAATGGGGTGACCCTTTTTGTCATTAAAATAGTAAATTTAAATATTTAATGGTAAAACATGATTTTCCCACTTTAATTATAATTATTGGATGTTGATATTGATAACCTGGAGCAAGTTTCAGTCTTTGCATGCTTATAATATACTAAGGTTGAAATAATTTATTATGCCACTTGCTGTCTGCGCCTTGGTTATGTTTTGCTGTATGTATAATTACAAATGAAAGTGTTAAAACGTTCAATTTTTTTGGTGTTTAAAGTTATTCTCAAGAAGCAAAAAATAAACAGAACTGAGATCAGATATCTGTTTGGATTGTATGTTTTGTTTGAGAACATTTTACATTGAAAGAATTAAAATTGATTAACAAGTGTTTTGAGTTGTTTTGTAGTAAAATTATGGTGGCAAGGACATTTAGGTTGTATTATCCTGTTTGAGATCAGATTCATCTAGCTCAATAACTGACATTGATACCGGTGTGAAACTAGACATAGTCGTTCCATTCCTATGTTACATACGGTTTCTTGACTCTAGTAGAAAGGAGCTTAGTTGAGAAGTAGGAAGTATGAAGCACTTGGTAATTTGAGGAGGGTGTTAGAATACTTGTTTGAGCAAAGGTTTTAGAATTTTTCAATATTGGAGGAAGTAAATATGTGACGACAAATTATCAAATTTACCTTTTTCTTTCTGTTAGTAATGGGCCCCAAACATGTTTTTATACCAACAACCTAGGACACCAATAATTGTGTTTCACTTTCAAGTGATAGAATGTGTATGAGGTGGTGCGCACTTTGCGCTGATAGAATTTCTAGCTTTATTTTGTAAATTGCAACGTACTTGTTTTGCATCTGTTACGTAAAAAATTTCTTTGAAGGTTATGCTATGTTGTGACTTGTGAGAAGGGTCAAAGCACAAGAGAGAGTAGAAGCCTTAAAAAGTTATTGATTGATCAATTAATTGGATTTCATTGTTGACAGTCTTGCAATAAAGCAATAAAAATTAAAGATTGACACTGATTATAAATAGATCGTAGCAACTTAGGAGTGAAGTTCACTATATTGCTGTTGAGATAGCTGGAGCTTATACGAGGATGGTGGTGTTAAGCTTCTTATAGACCTTTTTTCTTTCAATGCTTGAAGTTTATAGCACCATAAGTCACTGTGGATTATGCAGTTTCTCTTTTGTTTCCCTTAAAATTTAAATTTAAGGGAATTTCATGATAATTACATCTTCTAAACATGTGCTTGGTTCCTTGTAGTCCCAATCTTTAAAGCTCTCTACAAGGAGGAATACTTTGGATGCCTAAAGCATAAACGGTGAGATGGTTTCATTCAGCATAGATGTACGTTACTAAGAAATGACCCTAGAACCCACCTCCCATCTTAGCCCTTTTGTTTTCTTTCTTTTTGTCTTCCATAGTTTGGTTAGTTAAAAGAGAGTTTGTTATGTTTTGAAATTCTCAGATTGAAAGGAATCATTAAGTTAGGAAAGACTGAGTAGCCAATCTGTTGATTACTATGCTGCTTACCATTTGACACTTGGTTACACCAACGAATCAGGAGCTTAGTTTTTTTTTTTTTTTAATATATATATCTCATTTTATATATCCTTTATAGTTTCTAGGTACAACTTTTGATTCCACTCATGTATATATTTGTTTAAAGATCTTGCTTTTGTTTAACTTTCTGCGATGCTTTTCATGATGTTTGGTTGCCAATTTCTTCAAGTCAAGCCACTAGCACACAGTTTTTTTCATACAAAGGAGGCTGCTGCATGGGAATAAGGGAATGGGTTGCAGGTGCTGGGATTTGAGCTCTAGACCTACTAGATGCCATGTCACCTCTTAAGAAATGGTTGCATGAAGCAATTGAGCTTTGTACTTTCCTTTTGAGTTATAATCTACATGTTCCTAACAAGGACAAACTCCGTCAAAGCACATTTTCATGTATTTTTCTGTAAGTATGAGAGTATTTAAAGTCACCCCAAAATTCTGGAGAAAGTTCCATTCATATATATAACCAAAAGATGTGATAACTAGGAGCTATAGACATACATGAAACATTACAGGAATGTTCTATAAAACAAATTGTTCTAGAACGAAATCTATGACTAATGATGAAGCTAAAAATTAATTGTCAATAAAACAAAAAGAAAAAAAAAACACATAATTCTATGTATTTCATGAAGCAGAAGCCCTTTGCTTTTGAAGCTGCTTGTCAACGGGAATACACTTAACAATCCATCCAATCGGCCAAGATAGAGCAGCAATGCCGATGCAAGCCCCCCATTGCTTCCAATCCAGCCTCTCAGTATTGGCAAACCTCTGAAGAAATTCCACCATTACTGCTTGTACAATCAAGGTAACTCCGATTATTGCCAAAAACAACTTGTTCTTATGTATCCCCTTGAATATGTTCTTCTTATCCAGATTTCTTGCATTAAACTCATTAAAAATTTGACAGAGAACAAATGTATTGAATATCAGGGTGTCTTTAACCTTCTCAGTCACACTGAAAATGGATTTACCTTTAAATTGAAAGATCAGTAGGATAGCTACCTGATAGAGGGCTTGAGCAATGAGGTTCCTCCACATAACTTTGGTTATAAGTGGCTCAGTTCTACCCACTGGTGGTTTGTCCATGAGATCGTTGGTAGGTTGCTCAGTGGCCAAGGCTAGTGCCCCCAAAGTGTCCATTATGAGGTTCACCCACAATAGCTGGGCTGTAGTTAGTGGGACTTCTCCAGAAGATACAGCAGCAATAAAGTTGATGACCAAGGCAGTAATGTTAACTGTGAGCTGAAATTGAATAAACTTTTGGATGTTGTTGTAGACACATCGACCCCACCTCAAAACTGTTGCTACAGAGGTGAAGTTATCATCCAAAATGACAATATCTGAGCTCTCCTTTGCCACTTCAGTTCCTTGAATGCCCATGGAAAGCCCAATATCTGCTTCTTTTAAAGCAGGAGCATCATTTGTACCATCTCCAGTGACTGCTACTACATGGCCCTTCTGCTTCAAGCTTTGTACCATTAGGAGTTTGTCAAAAGGTGATGATCTTGCCATTACTTGGATAATTTCAATCTTTTGCATTCTTTCTTCAAGTGAGTAATTTCTGAATTGTACACCTTCCACCACAGCTTCATTGTGCAAATTGTTATCAGAATCAAGAATTCCACATTCAAAAGCAATGGCCCTTGCTGTATGCATGTTGTCTCCAGTGATCATTTTGATGCTTACGCCTGCCTTTTTGCACGATTCTACTGCTTCTTTGATGCCTGGCCGACATGGATCTTTCAGGCCAACGAGGCCCAACCAGGTCAGTCCTGTTTCTTCAAGCTTTGTATGAATCTGTTCGTTTCCATCTGTTACATTTGCATGTGCAAAGGCAATACATCTCAGGCTTTTAGCTGCCATACTCTCAATAATTGTTCCAATATGTGCTCTTTCATCGTTATTCATGGCCTTTGATATCCCTTTTTTTTCATAATAAAATGAACACATTGCTAGTATCATTTCAGCAGCTCCCTTCCAGTGAGTTGCTAAAACTCTCTCATTGCTTCTCCTTATCAGAACTCCGCTTCGCTTTTTCTCTGAATTGAAGGCCTCGACGTGGATTATTTCACAACTTTGTTTTGGTTCATCAATACTCAAGCCCAAATCAATCACAGCCCAGGAAAGTATCGCTTTCTCAGTTGGACTACCAGAAATTTCAGGAATTGATGTGGAATTATGTTTATAAACAGTACCAGTAGTGTTTAAACCAACCCCTTCACTTAGTAATTGGAGGATGTTAGCTGCTATTTCTGATCTCATAGAATTATCAATAGGTTCTTTTCCAAGCCAAAATTCTATAACCTTCATCTCGTTTAATGTAAGGGTGCCAGTTTTATCAGTGCAGATTATGGTGGCTGAGCCCATGGTTTCACAAGCAGAGAGTTTCCGAACCATGGCATGATCCCTCATCATCCTCTTCATTGAATAAGCCAAAGTTAGAGTGACAGCTAGAGGCAAACCCTCTGGAATTGCCACAACTACAATCGTGACTGCTGCTGCAATTATACCAACGACTGAGTTCATCACATCATCAAACTTGGCCTTGCTCCCATTATATTCACTTTTTCCATTCTTGTCTTTGGTGTGTCCTGTAAAGTAGCGGATAAGCAAAACCAAAAGAACAAGTACTGCTACCGACAATCCAATCTTCCCAATATAAGAAGTAAGCTTGCTAAGGCGGGCTTGTAACGGGGTCTCCTCATTCAATTCACGCCTTATAGAACTCATCATCTCACCCCATGCTGTGTTCATGCCAACAGAAGTGACTAGCATGTAACCGAAGCCATCTGTGACCTTTGTACCGGAAAGCAAAAAGGGATTGTTCTTTTCATCAACTTCTACATGGTTACTTTCTCCAGTCATACTGGACTCATCAACCTTCAAGGAATGGCCCTCAACAAACAAACCATCAGCTGGAATCTGATCACCAATCTTCAAAGACACGATATCGCCCACCACAAGTTCAAATATTGATACAGTTTGGTGTCTTCCCCCTCTCACCACTTGCACGTGTATGTCGCTGCTTTCATTAGAAATCTCTTCAAACTGTTTACTTTGCCTATAATTACTCACAGCAGACACAACAACAACCAGAAAGATAGCTACAATGATGCTTCCACCATCATACCACCCCTCTTTCAGGCCATGCTGTTTGATTCCAAAGGCTAAAGAGAGGACAGCACAGACCAGTAGTATGATGATGATGGTATCTTTGAATGCTTCCAGAACAAAGCTAAGGAAACTTTTCGCAGGTTGTTTCTGGTACTTATTTGCACCAAAAACTTTAGTTCGAAACACAAGGTCAACATCATCACCTGTGATTACCAGTAGTTACCAAGAAATAAAAATTGCATAATGTCAGCCAAGTTTTTGTTCAAAAAATAAATAAAATCTCTTGCTAAATTTTTTTTTTGCCTTTTGCTTTTATTAGAAATAAATGTTTTAAATTACAATGAAAATAATATTATCTTATCATTTAAGTCATAATTAAATAAATGTAAATGAGATAAGATTAACATGCATTTTCATACTTGTAGGTGTCTAGAAATATTGACTCATGGATCAATTTACATAGTATAAAACTAAAAATATTTTACACATTTTTCTAATGATTAATTTCAATAGATCTAAGATATGAGATTGATAAGTAAAAAATTAAAAAAAAATGGTTTATTTTCATCTTTTGAATATATGGAAATCAATAGTTAAAAAATATGTTAAACTTTTTTAGTTTTATATTGTGTAAGTTGATTCTTTCATATATATATATATAGACATGATCAACTTGCATCGGTATAAAATTTTTTAGTTTTACATTTTTTTGTAACTATTAATTTCAATAAAAGTAAAGAATGAGAGAGATAAAAAAAAAATTAATACCATTTTTTAGATCTATTGAAATCATGATTAGAAAAATATGTAAAATTAAAAAGTTTTACACTAAATTGATCTCTCCCCCCATGCGTGTATATATATATATATATATTATATATATATATATATATTATTTTAAGGCTATTTACATTAGGATAAGAATATTTTTTTAACCCTTAGATCAAAGTTCATAATACTTACATTTAATCATCTAAGTGTAAATATATATATAATTCTTACATTAATATAAATAGATCCCTCTTCATATATACATGTTTACATGCACGCAATTGAGATATTTGAGTTTAACTCATAAAAATGATATGTGAATAGTTTAGTTCTAATTCTACTAGGGATGTTGGTCTTATGGCTGAGCTAAGTAAAACTCATGTTCTTAATTTCTTATATTTTGTTGATAATTCTTTTATAATTGAAATTTAATTAGTATGGAACCTTGGATTTCATTGCTGATTGTGAAGCCTAGAGGCTTTGTATATATTGGCCTCAGGTCCTCAAATTTTCTCATACTTGAAAATCCTTTGTTCTTTGTTCTATAAGATAATAGAATTTATACTGACACAAGCAATTTATAATGGAATTATAATCTTTCATGCATGCTTTTTTAGGGATCATATGAGAGATGGATATATTACATTAAAATGAAATTAAGCTTATCATATAATCTAAACATTAAATTGATATACAAATCAAATATTAATATTTAAATTAGAGTATGGTGTAGGTTGAGAATCTCGAATTTAAATATCGGTGTAGAATTAGTATTTGATGTCAAGTCTTAATTAGTTTTTACTTAATTTTAATCAAATACAGTTTTATTTTTTATTATTAACTTTTACTTTAAGAGCAACTTATATATATATATATATATACTTTTTTGAGAAAATAAAGAAATTAATTACCGGGAATTCCATTTTTCAAATCACTTTGAAGGAGCCTAGCAACCCGCTTAACTCCCCCGTACCGATCACTCAAACTTTTCAAGCTCTTTTCTTTAACCACCTTGGCAAGATCCTGAGGATCGATGTGGAGAGTAGGGGCAGGTTCATCACCACTTCCTTCAATGTCGATGGTAACAAAAGAAAGGGATTGCAGGAGCTCAGCATTTTTCTCAACAACCTTCGTGGTCAAGGCAACGAGAAACCTAGTGACGGTTATGGCAGTAAGCGCCATTCGCCACCTTCGTACATAGCGTTTTGAAGGTGGTGGAGGCTCTTCTTGGCAGAGCATGGAGGAGTAGTCGCTCGGTTTTAGCAACCTCAAAGACATGGGAGGATAAAAAACTCGGATGAGCAAACAAGATCAGTTCTTGGGTAGGAATAGGAGGAAAAGAAAAACAAAAGAGAGGGTTTTGTGGAGAAAGAATATATGAGGAATGAGGAAAGGGTAGGTTTCAACTTATAGTGATATATGATTCTCTTCGTCTGATGACGAAGTAAACGCGTTTGTTTGAGGAGGTATAGCTGATCTATGGATAAACAATCAGATAAAACGTGAGACTTTACAAACAAAAAAAAAAATCTTCATTTTTAAAGCTAAATTTAATTTAATTGGCTTATGCAATTACGACATTTTTTTACCAAAAAAGAAAACGACTTGCTAAATGTACATTTATTAACTAAAATACATGCAATTGAGATGAGACAACTTCCAAAGGCAGTACCATTTATATCTTAATTACAAAGTACAAGAAGAATATTGGTTTAATAACACATTTATTAAGTCTTAACATAGATAGCTATATTTAAGATATTTATGTTTAATATATAAAATTATGATAAAATAATATTAAATTAAATAATGTCATCATATTTTGTATTCGATGAATACAAATATTAGAACAAGATAATTTATTTATTTATTAAATTATTTTTTAAAAATTTATCCAATTTAAATTATTAATATAAATTTTAAGGATATAATTAAACATAAAAATTTAATTTCATAGACTAAACATAATCATTTTCACTTGAAGAGATTTGAATAATTTATATCAACAAGATATTAATCTTTTTTATAATCTCTATCTTCTCTATATATAAATTAAACATGATATAAAATTATTATTATTTTATCTTATTAATAATTTTATCTATTAAACATGATTTTAATAAAAACTTTTCTATTTTAAATGATGAGAAAAAAAGTGAGATTTATTAAACGAAGACGATTATATATATAAATATATATATATATATATATTATTTTCCTCCTACCTTTTACTAAATTCTTTTCTACTTTATTCTTCCCCTCTTTTATCTTGTTCTCATATTCTAGTACAAGGTCTTGACTTTGCTGCTTGCAATGTCATCTTTGTTGTTTGTGTCGAGCAGCCTTCTAAAGATAAAATTCTGAAAAAAAAAAAAAAAAAAAAAAGAGAACAGTTAGAAATAAAAGTTGAGAGTGATTTTAATACTTGTATTTTGATACTTAAATTAAAAAATAATCAAAAATATATAGGAAAGAGAATATAAGAAAACATAAAAAGATTAGATGCATCAAATAGTACTCAGTGATGCTATTTATACTTATATTATGAGAATTTTGGGTAGTCTAGACTGTTTCAAATCAACTTTAACGATAAAAATGTTTTGTTAGGTTAAGTTGAGTTGGACATTAATTATTCAATTAGAGGATGACAAATCAACATTTAAAAAAATTTAATAAATAAATTAATAATATGATCGAATTGATGTGATATTGTAAAATTAAATCAATTTATTAATTTGATTAAAAAATAAAAAATATTTTTAATTATCTGCTAATTATTTTTAATGAGAAAAAAAATTACTATTTTAGACTCAAAAATACCACCGACAGTTGTGTTTCAAGATTTCCAAAGAGTGAGACAGGATGATTAATATTGAGTGAGGTTGGCAGGAAATTTCCAAACAATTAGACATTGGAAAACCTTTTACAAGTGAAGTGATATTTTTGTCTTCATAGTAATTTCTTGTCAAAGAAGTATCACCACAATGACGGTATACAACTTTTTTCCAAGAAGTTGTTAAAGACTTCCTGGTCATGAAAATTTTAAAAATAAATGAGATTTAGAAGGAAAAAAAATTATCTTAAAATAAATGATATTAATTATTAATATCATATTCCTATTTCCTATTTTAATTTTCTTATAGAAATTGATAGGATTGTTCTTATCCGTTGCATAAAAGAATTCAACTAAATTCCAATAAGAAAAAAGGAATTCCAATTATTTATCAATGACTCGAAATTGAAATTAGTAAAAACACAATATCTCATATATGCTTGTGACAGATTTTGATTTAATTTTTTATATTTAAATTATGAGAAATTAAATCTTAATTTTTAAAATTAAAAATCACACAATCATTCATCCTAGAATTGATATTTAGTCATTTGCGTATACTAAGGGGAAAAAGAATACATTCCCCTTTATGGATAATTTAGTGTTAGTGGTAGAATCTTGGGCTTTAAAGAGAATTTTACATCTTGACAAGATTTTATAGAATCAAATATTTTGACTAAGAAGCAAGTGCGTTAAAATATTCACCAGAGAAATTTCCCAGTTATTTCGTTTTTCTTTGTGGCAGAATCCATTTTCTAAAAAAAAAAAAAAAAAAGGTACCGAAAGGAAAGAAGAATAAAAAGGTCAATACGTTAGTCAAATTTGCAAGTGTATATACATTTTTCATGCACTAAACACGCTTTTGGCTTTTGTAAAGATTAACTTTGCTTTGTTAGGAAAAGCATCTTAATTCACCTTCAAAGCAAGTATTTTATTAAATTTTAATTTTAATTTAATTGATTAATCAATTATTTTTAAAAAATAAAATTTAATATTCTTTCCTATCTTCATATTGTGATTTCTTATGTAAAAAAAAAAAAAAAAGAAAGTATCCCATCTTTAGGTTTTTTTTTTTTTATATATAAAAGATTTCAACTTTGAGATATTAAAATAAATTGTGAGTATCAAGATTTAAAGTTTAATCTATTAAATGTTATCTTTTAAGATAATTATATAAATTAATGAAATTAAATTTTTTTTTATTATTATTATTTAATCTAAAGATTTTTCAATTAGATTTTAAAAAAATTGTTTCTCCAACAATGTTGGGTTTGCCACTATTTCATTTTGGCTACAATTTTAGTTCTTAATAGGGAATATATTGTTGCTGCAAATTATTCTGCACTGTCGTCGGTTGTGTGAAAGAATATTGGTAGCTGGTAAGCATCCACTTTAATTAAGCATGAATGCGTCAGAGCCATGTGCTTTGGGAAATGGAAAATTCTTGGGGTTGGGAGAGTCGCATGCCGATTTCAATTTATCCGTAAAACTTTATCAAATTAAAAATAAATAAATTTAATAATTTAAAATATAATATAATATTATAATATTAATTAAAAATATAAAAATGATATGATTATGATATATAATTTTTATGTAAAATATATTATAAATATATAAATTTTAATAATTTAGTTGATATAATTACATGAATCATTAAATTTTAAAAAAATATTAAATAAAAATCTTTATTAATTTAAATTTAATTCAAATGATTCATCACAAAATTTTAAAAAATAAATTATAATAAAATTTAGAATTTTATTTTTAGTATTTACAAAATTTTCTTTCTCAATTTCTTTTAAACTTTCACTTCTTTTATATACATATATAAAAATAAATTAAAGAAAAAAACTTCTTACCAATAGAATCTACGGTTGAATTTCATTAATTACCTTTTGTTAAAATTAATCTCCAATGCATGACCTTGAGGTACATCTTGCCGACAATGGCAAGCACATGTCGAGAAAAAAACAACCTATATTGACCCCATTTTGTTTCTAACTCGTGCCTTTTCTTACCAGTCAAGTCAAATTGAACCCCCTTTACATGTTCAAGAAATAAGAGTCAATAAAGCAGCGTTTTACGGTAAAAATAAGCAGTAAAAAAAGTTTTAAAGACTTGCCGATTCATGCATTTCCCTAAAAACTGTCTGAATGTGAAGATCTTCTAAACTAACTGGATTATCACATTGGTGTTAATTAGTTAATGTCAATGAATTTAACGTGTCAATGAATTTTACGTGGGTCAACAGTCTCGGATGAGTTTTCATTGAGATTAATAGAAAAGTTTAATAAAAATATTAGATTCAAATCTTAATATATTAATTTTTAAAATTTTAAATTGTAATCTTCTTTATTTAGAAAAAAAAATCAAAATGAGTTAAATAAAAATTTTTAAGGAATAAACCAAATTGAAGAGCTGATATTAATAATAGTATCGTAAGCTTATTCATATTTGATTTATTTGACAAATTGTTCAAGTTAAAGTTTCTGTCAGCTCATTAATTTGGTTTTTAAATAAAATATTTTGCATATAATAAGGAAATGGAAAGTTTAAATTAAAGGTAAGAGTCTTTGAGAGCATCGGTGCAGCCATAAACTTTAAATATGAGATACTCATCCATGTTTCACATATATTTTTTATGAAAAAAATCATAATTTAAAAAACAAAAAATTTACATTTGTTAAGATTTGAGTTTTAAATCTATTAATTATGATATTTTAATAATAATTATATAAACTAATTAAATTAAATTTCGATTTGTCATACTTCATATATTTGATAAGAATGATTAAGATTAATTTATTCTTATTTTGATTTTTATTTAATCATGAATGGAGAGAAATTAAACCCTTTTTTGCCCAATTAAAAGAAAAGCCCATATTTTGCCCCACCAAAATCTCAACCTTACATGCTAAAGCTCAAGAAGTCATATTTATTTTAATTAATCTCAATAATTAATTCATTATTAATTAGGATTTAGTGGACTTAGCTTCCTTTGAGTTAACAGCCTTTCTTTTTTAATAATAATAATAATAATAATAATAACAATAATAATAATAAACTTCAATTTTTTTATTCATTACAATATATATATATACTAGTTTTATTCCACATGCTATACACATGATTGTTAATCAATTTACAATTATAATATAATATAATAATTTGATATTTATAATAATAAATTAAATAATTATCATCGTACTAATTAAATTAAAATTGTAATTTTAAGTTTTTAAAAATAATATAACAAAAATTAAAATTAAAATTCTAATAAAAAATAAATATTTAATCTTCTTTATTTGATTCTTTTTAGAAATTTTCTTTCAAATTTTTAGTGTTAAGTTCATCATCTTCATTCTTTTTTTCTAATTTTTTTAAAAATTTATTAACTATAAAAAATTATCTTTATCATAATCAATCGGATTTTTATACTTTCTTCTCTCTATTTTATGTTCTTTCTAGAGTTTTTTAAGCTTTTTAGTAGTGAATTTTTATCTTCAATTTTATAAATTTTT